AAATTTGTAAAGGTTCTCTGAAAGACAAAGGCTGGTCAGTTAAAAGGTAAATAGATAATTTCTACAATTGTGGTGACTATTGTGGAATGAAACCAAACAGGTTAATAACTAAGTTTTAGTTTGAAGCAGTCTGTGTGATTAGAAGCAGCCTTTGCTTGAGTAGCAAGCCGCAGTAAAAATGTTATTTTCCCTGTTCCCTCCCAGCTTGTTTACCGCCTGTTCCAACTTCGGTGCAAGCAAGGCACTCTGTAACAGTGTCTTTATTGCTCGGCAACACATTCTGTAAGATTCTGCATTAAAACTACACCTAGTGCATTCCATGGTATTGAGATACAGTGAAAAAGTAATTTTAAAGATGTAATACGTTTGGTGGAGGAAAAACCCCCCTCCGTGGGCTGGTTTGTGTACATGCAGTTACTTGAATGTCTTTTTGACTTAGGCAATGCTTCCCACAAACCCAACGAAAAAGTTGTAGGGTTACAGATTTTGTAAAGTAGGAGAAAAGTTTCTGCTTTCTCTCCCCGTAGGGCAGGGACAGAAGACAAGGGCGTCTTCTCTACCCAGCTGTTAAACTTTGAAAATTGTTCTGGTTGGAGTGATTAAGGCCTCTACTTGGTTACTAGGCAACTGATGATTCTCTTTGTATTATCTCTTAGACTTCATCTCTCTCCTTACAAAGGTAAAACTTTAGTCTCAAAAGCAACTTTTTCTTTCCTCCTCTGCCCTTTTTACCAAAACTCTTTGCTGCAACAGGAAAACGTTTGATACAAAAATTCACTCAGCAATTTTTAAAGATTTGTCTGCAAGGTACAGGACAATACAAGGTGTTTCTTCCCTGGGCCCTGTTCGGGGTCCTCCTGCCGTCTGAGCAGCCGCCACGGCGACTGTCCAGATCAGCATTGTTCCAGCCTAACGACTCTCTCTGGCACTCCTGCCCCCGCCTCCCTTTCGGTCCTGTTCTTCTTTTACATGGGTATACTGCGATTCCTGCAGCCCTTGCGGCACCAGAAGCCACCCCTCAATCACGGCCCTCCCCCGCACGCAACCACGGCAGATTCTGGCCCCGGGAAACCTGATCTGCGACCACCACTAATGCAGATCAACTCAATATCCCAAACCACTACTAGAACGACACCAAAAAGACTCGACCTTCCATGCATGGTCAAGGCTCCCCACACTCCAAACCACTCTGCCAAGCCCAAAACCCCGACAGAATCCCTCCAAACCTCTGCTTTCCCTGCCTCCCCCACACGGAAGGACACAACTTGAGAAGTAAAATTAGCCCAGGGCTACTTCGATTAGCAACCTCTCTTCATCACTCCCCTCTGTACCAGGCACACAGCGAGAGGTTTTTGCATTAAATCAAACTTTGCAGGCATAAAGAAGTTTAGAAAGCTAAGCAGCAATCAATCACAAAATAACTCTCCCCTGCCAATGTGGCAACAATAATAACTAACTTTTTCTAAAATCTTACCTGCCACCAATAAGTAACTTGCAAGCAAATCAACTCCTGTCCCCTTTCCACATTTTCTCACCATCTCTCACACAAACCTCAACAGCATATCTCGAATGGCAGTTCCTAACCCAAAGATTTTAATGACTATGTAAGTAAACTGAGTGATCCGAGATTAAACTGAGAATGAAAAAAACCAAACTCCACTGAGTAGTGCGATGCATTGGCACCTCACTTACACGCTTTTTAT